ACTCAGCAAATGATTATAAGCAAATGCCATCAAACGCAGGCAGGAATGGAGCTGGTAGACCTAGCCATACTCATGCCTACTGGGGGTCTTTAATTTCTGGCGAAGTGTTTGATTGCAGCATGGTATCTCCAAAGCAGCCCCCAACTCTACCACACCCAACACAGAGAAGAAAAACGTGTCAGAGGCTCCAAAGAGAAAATCAGTCAGCTACCACCATTCAGGCTATGTGGAGAGGCTATCGAGTCCGGAGAGAATTGGATGAAATGAATAAAGCCGCTACCAGGATTCAGGCAGCTTATCGAGGCCACAGGACGCGGCAGCAATTGCCCCTCTGCTTTTACAGTTACTTTGGCGATGAAAAGTTTGCATTAAATCAGAAGAGGAAAGCAGAAAACAAGGCGACGGCAGCACCTGCTACCTCTGCGTGCCTCCTGCGCTGGGGTAGGGGCCTCCAGGCACCAAGTGATATCAATGAAAATGAGGGAATGAGCGGTCAACAGAGAGAGAGACACAACCCAAGGTCTTCTGTTATTCCCAGAGCCCTCGTCTTCAAAACAGAGTCTTCCTTCATGCTCAGCAATGACGTTTTGGCCCTCGCTAATAGCTTACCTGCCTTTGAAGACTTCCAGGCCATGGCACCTCAACAGCAAAACCGTGATGCTGCAAGTAACATCCAGGCTGCAAGGAGAGGGCACCAAAGCAGAAAAGAGCTTAGTAAAATGGAACCGCAAGCTGCAAAAATAGCAGAGCAGAGCCAGATCTTGGCTTACAGTTATCAACTCAGACCAAACAGCCATGAAAACTATCAAATTTCACAGGTATTTAGCGACACTAATATCCAGGTGTTGAACCAGGAGCCTCAAGATGCGGCGCAATACCCCGGCCTGGACCCTGTTGTAAGGTTGGGACCAAGTAAGGAAAGCAGAGAGTCTAATGCAGAGAGCAATGCACCGTCTATTAGAAATATTAATGTGCATGCAGTACTGAAGAGCCTGCCAGCCTCCAAAACGTCCTCAATCTCCCTCCAAGTGTCCAGTCCCAACGCCGCGGTGGAAGAACTGCAGAGGGGAGCAGGCAGAGCGCAGCTGCGTGGGCTGTACACTGTCAGAGGACGCAGCGGCTCGAAGCCTTCTCAGATCTGCGTTCAAGTAAACGTGGTGGAAATGGAAAGGACGGCAGGTGGCAGTTCTTCACAGTAGGAACCAGCCAGTGAAACCGGAGAAGGAGGCTGCTCTTGGTCTGCAAAATCTTCTCCTGCGCTTGCAGAGACTCGTCATGGCTAAAACAATTGTCTTACTGGAGCTTGAAAGTGGGTGCGACGGCAGGTGGCAGTTCTTCACAGTAGGACCCAGCCAGTGAAACCGGAGAAGGAGGCTGCTCTTGGTCTGCAAAATCTTCTCCTGCGCTTGCAGAGACTCGTCATGGCTAAAACAATTGTCTTACTGGAGCTTGAAAGTGGGTGCAGTTTTGGCAGCCTCCATCACGGTCTCCCATCAGCCGTTTCCTAACTTGCCGTGCTCAGTGGCTGCTTGTTCCCCTGCTGAAACAAAGACCTTTTTTTCCCTTGCCCACCACGTGAAGCAGGTTATAACTTTGGAGTCAGGCTGGAGTCACTCTCACAAACAGGTCCATGCCCAAGTACAACATTCTTAGGGATTTTTTGTTTTTCAGACCCGGTTATCCAGCCACAATTAACATCACATAAAGTTTCAGCTGCAAATAAATCATTCAAGGCATGAGCGTGCAAAACTCCATGTATTATATAGAACAAAACTTACACCGGATGTATTTTTTTATCTGCATTGTAGCCCAAACAAGTCGGATGGACCAATTATACCCATAGAGCCAAACGTCCTAGGGCCCTGGCCTCCCCGGATGGCCTGTTCTTTGCAGAGGGTCGTAAGGTATTGCGCCTGGCCTCGCAGCAGTGCTGCCTGCACTGTGCAGGTACTGCCAGGGAGGGGTGCTGAAACAACACAGAAGAAAGTGGGGAAAAAATGTAACGAAGGGAAAGGGAAAAGGCAAGGTGAGGGTGAAAAGACCCATGAGAAAGACTCTCAGTCTAGGAGAAGAGGAAAAGGAAAAGGAAAGTGGTGGCTAGGCTAGGACACCGCAGAGGGACTGGGGATACGGGACACGGTGCAGCTTCCTGGGGGAAAAGGGTTGGCGAAGCAGGACAAAAGGCAAGGAAGGAAAGGCTGAACTGGGCTGGTGAGATGGGTGAGAGCGGGCGGCGCCTGGGCTGCCGCGGGGCTGCAGGGAGCAGGGGCTGCAAACTCCCTTGCAAACTCACGTGCCAGCAGCCTGCATCTCGATGGCTTCGACGAGCAGGCTGAAAAAAACACCCCTGGGAACGAGGCCTGTCGGCTCTGGTTTGCAGCATTTCCTACCTGCATGCTTCCTCCCACCTCGGCCTTTCCCACCCCCTCTCATCTGGTCTCCAGCCACCGCTGCCACCTCTCATGGGAAAAACCGTTCACTCTGCTCAGCTGCTTAGCGCCTATGAATAACACAACTTGGCACACACCATCATAACCACAAGTTTTACAATTGCTCCTAATTTTAGCCGTGTGGTCTCAAACTGATCACCTCCTGGGTGGATTTATTTTTTTAAGCATTTGAGCTAAACCAGTGCAGCAAGCGAGGCCTAGGTCAAATGCTGTTGGTGCTTAAGCAGCCCTAGTCTTCCTGCAGCCTGGAGTCATAACCTGAGGGGTCACTTATGAATCCACTGCAACCTGTGGAAAAGCAGAGGCAGGTTCACAGTGGAGAAGAGTCAGGTTTCATCCAGAAATTCATGCTCTGTCTCAGGGCGGACGCTCCACATGCTCCACTGTGTTGTCGGTAAGACGGAGCATCTACGCGTACCTTCCTTCACGCAGAGCCTGAGAGCATGGCCGAGCGAAGGCCTGTAAACGGAAAATATCATCAGCAAGCAAGTAGAGATTAGTTCTCAGTATCCTCCTCCGAGTGCCAGATGTCTCTGAGAGCCTAAAACCAGGCATGTCGGGTCCTTACCTCCCATCACGGCGCCAGCAGCAGCTGCAGAGGTAAGGGTAAAGCACACATTGAATTTCCCTCCAAACAACCTCCGAGTAGTGGCTAAGAGCCTACTCCTATTGCCAGCTAATAGATTAACTTCATTAACTCACAGCAAAGAGCCGTGCAGTGGTCTAACGCCTTTTGAAAACAAGTCTTCCCTCCAATGTTCAATATAGCACTGTCTGATGTTGTCTTCCGAAGGGACAGCTTTGTCCTGGCGAACTTTACATCAGGCCAGAGGATCGTGTGTTTGGTCTACTCCCAAGAGGTGGTGGTGTTGCCTGTCTGCACCATCCCAGCCAAATATCATCTGTTCTCTTGTAGCCGGCACAAAAAAATACCTTCCTTCTGTGCACCTTGACCAGATCAACATACCTCAGGCACTGGCAGGTGCCTGATGTGGGTCTGATTTGTAGGCTGAGCAAGCTGGTGGTGATGACAGCTGGTGTTAACGAGAGGCAGTTCTTTGCCTCCTGGTAGCACGGCTGGATCTGAGCATCTTTCGGCAGCTGGGATGCAGAGCGGGGGAACGGTGCATGGTGTACGTGCATGTCCGCCGCTGATGCTTTAGCGCTGCGAGGCAAACCTTGGTGAGGACCTTCGAAGAGGCAAAGCTAGATCATATAACTTACGGCTCTATCAAAACCTGAGCTACTATAAGAAGGGGGTGCAGGTGTTGCTGGAAAAAATAGGCTTCCCACGTAAAAGTCAGCAAGCAATGAAATTCTTCTAGGTTATGGATGTTTGTTGGTACCTGAAAACAAACTCTGAGGATATACAGAGAGCCATGAACAGTTTTGTTTGCAGCAAACACGTAGGATAATTGTGCCAGCAACAACACAGAAAGCAGCCAGAAAGAATCCATGAAAGCAGAAGCAGTCTGGGGTTTGGGGTGCAACCTAAAGGAATTTAGAGCCAATCTTCCTTGAATTTGAACGGTTCAGGGAAAAAAGCTCCTCTTTGGAGAGAGATGGCAAAGTGGCTCCCATTTGGGAAGAAAACCGAAGCATTCGTGTGGATGAAGATCCTGAACTCCTTGGCAGAGGAGAGGTAGCGAGAGAAGGAAAAAGAGCCCACGTCCCAGTAGATATCAGTGATCTCTGGTGGCTTCTAAAGAAGCCTGGTCCAAGGAGTAACTTGAGAGGAATGACACCTAAAGAGGAGCTTGCTAAGCAACCCAAGGCCCCATCACCATCGCTGCTAAGCGCGGGGCTCTGGGACCATGCTCTCTGTCAAGCTGTGCCCGTGAAAGTCCCGCGCAGGCATTTCCGAGCTGCTGCGTGTGATTTTATGTGTGCATGACGAGAGGTAACGCTGCAAGAATCAGCCCTGTTTTCCTACTCACACCTGCTGTTTTCTTTTACTGCAATACCCATTTTTATAGCTGTAAAACAGCAACTACAGGGTAAAAAAGGAATAAGGTAAGCCTGTGGGGAGGCTTTGGTCTTTTATTAGACCAACGAATACAGCTGGAGGAAACAGACAAGCTTTTAGGCATATCATCCTTCTTCAGGTCTGACCGGCAGCCTTTTTTTTTTTTTTTTGGCTCAGCTGTAACTTTTCTCGACTGACAGCCTAATAAAAGACTTTTCTCCTCCCTGCAAACCTTGCCTCCCTCCTGCTCCAGACCTTTGCGGCTATAACCCCGCAAAGACCGCCAAGAGTGAATCAGCTAGAGTTTAGGACCCAGAGCCCCGATTTAGGTTTACGGGATGTGACAGCTGACTAAAAATCAATGAAGTGTGCTTTACGGAGCTTCACAGCGACACAAGACGAGACTCGAGACGTGCTCTCTTGCCTCGCAGAGTTAATTGCCTGCATTGCTTTTTAATGAGGTTGCTTCGGTCCCCTGCTAGGATGAGACCGACTTGCTCGTGAGGACGGAAGATCGGCTTTAAAGGAAGAAGCCACGGCGGTGCCCATGCTTTGTCTAACGCTCTTTGCGCTGTGTCTGAGCCATGCGGGTAAGTGCTGTTTCTTCTCCTTCCAGGCTGAGCTGCAGGCAGCTCCAGCTTTTTTTCTGCCATCCGGATAGCTG